ATTTTCCTAAATGTACTAAATTAGTTTACAAAAATAATTTTTTACAGAAAAAAACAAAGTAAATAGAGTTTACAGCGAGCTTATACATGACCATGCTTTAAGCGTGACGCAGATGCAGCCCTGTGTTGCCATCTAGTGTCAGCATTTTTACAAAATGACTGCTGCTGTTAGATTTCTTTAATGTTGCAGTAATAATGAAAAAATGAAGGTTATTAAGATTTCATATATTCCGCCTCTCTGTCTTTGTCTCTGCAGGGAGCTCAGCTCCTCACAGCAGCTAAAGGACTTTCTAACCTGAAGGTAACACACAGACTGTCGATAAAGGGCGAAGCTGCCTTTATGTTTCATTGTAAATTGTTATTACAGTTCAATAATAACCCTGCTCGCTAACGCTTCAGTAAAATCTGCAGTTTGAATCGTAGATAAAGTCAGTAAACCTGCACAAGTCGCAGTACCTTCAAATCCATTTTACCACCTTCACAGCTCATAACTGCAAACCTCCAGACTTTCTATAATAGTTGGCTGTAGTTATTATCCAGCATCAGGACTTACTGATGTGTGCTGTGTGCTCATGATCTGCTTTTGTGTATCTGTGATGTGTAACTAGGGAGGAGGTGAAGCCAAAACCCTGACGCCCAAGCAGTGCATAATTATTGATGCAAGCCTCGAGTCAATCAAGGTAGGTGAACGCCTGCATCTCTGTTACAGCTTCATTTTTCCATCTCGCTGCCGTATTTCAAGTGCCTGGATGAGTTTAGAGTTTAGGGTTAAGAAGAAAATTGTATTACTCTTCATTACTCTTCAGTATTTTATTGAGATGTTCCTCTAAAGTGAGCATTTCCTCACTTCCACCTTGCCACTTCCTTTCCTTTCAGCAATATTTCCACGCAGGAGGAAATGGGCTGAAGAAGGCGTTCGTCGAGAAAAGTCCTGAACTGGCATCGCTGCGTTACGCCCTCTCCCTCTACTCCCAGAGCACCGATGCTCTCATCAAGACCTTCGTCACCACACAGCACTCCCAAGGTGATCGCACACACACAAACTCCACTCGCTGCACACACAGTGTGGATGATTTTTGTCTTCTCTGTGGTTCAAACCTTAAACTTTTCTCCTCTTCCCTGTCCTCTCAGTGCATGATGGGATGGGCATCAGAATCACCGCCAATGAGAAGATCAGACCTGATAGGGGTAAGTCTTCTTTGATACAAGAAGAACTCGCTAAACTCCAAGTAAAACAGACCCCAGGAGGTGGAGTGCTCCTCAGCACAGAAACAGAACCAACACCTTCACACTCATGTAGAGCTGCAGCCCCTCGCAGCTCACAGTTAATATTAAAGAGGAAAATAATGAGAACAGTTTGGAGAATTTTGGAAATGTTGCTATCACAGCGATGAGCTTTAATGAAAGGTCCTTTTGTACC